GTACAGCGAAATTTCACTACAGAGTCTTATTATTATTATTATTATTATTATTTATCTAATCAATGTATTTAAATTTTAAATTTTTTTTATATGAATCTTAGATATATATTTAGGAACCTCCAAACTTGATTTTATGATTTTTGAAACAAACTGAATTTTTTTTTAATCCATTTTAAGTTTTATTTATTTTTATATTTAAAATCATAAAAAAAATGATTGAGAGTTAAAAATGTTTTGACCATTGTAGTGATTAGTGATGGAACTGGCGTTATTGTGTTGAAAGTTAGTGGAACCATTTATACATTTGTACGACAAAATTTCACTATAATAAGACATTTTATTTTTATCAAATCAATAGAGTTGAAATTTTAAAAACTGTTCATATGCATTTAAACATATATAATTAGGAGCATCACAAATTAATTTCGTGATTTTTGCAACAATTTGATTTTTTAAATCAATTTTGATCCTTGTTTATTTTATTCTATATTTAAAACTATAAGAAATTTTATATGAAAAGTCGTAAGTATTGTAATTTTGTTCGAAGGAGTTCAAAACTGTACGTAGTCGTTGATTGGACATGGATGTTGTGGTGGTGATCAATTCCGAGACAAAGGCTTTGGTGAAAGAGATACAGATTGTTGAAGACAAATTGATTGAGGTTAGGTAATTTGTTTTGGTATATTTGTGTTCTTTCCTTCTTTCATAGTGAATTGATTAATGGTGTTTCGCTCGTGATTTTTTAATCACAATTGGAGGTGCTCCAGTTGTGATTCTTCTACATAAAAATCGGTTGTATCGATTTATTATTTTTGAAATAACAATCTAAATCACTTTCATACGTGCTTGATGATTTAGATTGTTAGTTTTGATTGTTTGGAAAATGTTGCAATTAATTCTAATTCGAATCACGAATCATTTAAGTTTTTCAAAACTATAAGAATTGATCTGAATTAGATCCGTTTATAAATTTTGTTTGTTTGTTTGTTTGTTTGTTTGTTTATTCAATCCTTCCACTACCACCTCCACCTCAATTACTCTATCACTATAGCCACTAATACAGTTAATAATAATACATTAATTTCAAAGTCATAGTTAAAAGTAAGAAAATATTTTTTTATCAAAAAATATTTTTTATCCAAACAGAGATAATGAGGGTTTGAAAAGTCAAAAGGACAAACTTCTATCTATTTATCTATCTATCTATCTATCTATCTATACACTAGTTGCGAGGCGACGTGCTTCGCACGATAGCCTATGCCCATAGCCGAAGTAACCTCAAATTGCTTGATTTGAAATTTACATCCATCCAAAAAAAATTATGAAAGGAAAGAAAAATATATAGAAAAAGTATGAAATAAAGTTTTTTTTTTTTTTTTAAAAGTGTTACATCATCCCCGCCTTTTTTATTTCATCCACAAATCTCTAATAAATAAAAAAAACTTTTAAACAAGCACTCAGTTGAAAGATGCATATCACAATTAACTTGAAAAATCCCCACTTGAGGAGGTTTCCACCCAAAATCTTCTCTTTAGTCCCTCAGGCTACCATCTACTGCCACTGTGTTATCTTCCCTCCCGTGTATTATACTCATGCCACCCATGGTCTATTTTTGGTGTGTGTCATACGAATTGATGGGCACAGAGTTGAAGATAAAGTCATTCATTGCCTTCCATATATACCAACCAATCAAAGCAATCTTGCTCAGAATTTCTATTCCAGATTCTTTGAACTCCCCATCATCTCCCCCATTGAGCTGTCCGTTGTGCCATATTTGGAATTGATCCATGTTCAATTTGAAAGTTCAACATGCTCCCAAACCAGACTGCCTTTGTCCATTCACAATCAAACAACATATGCTCCAATATTTCCAATTTTTTTTTTTTGGCACACTGGGCATATATTGGATGCAGCACATCTACGCTTAGCTAGATTGCCTTTATTGCCAATAAATTTTTGCATGATCTCCACCAAAAATGGCGGATTTTTGGGGGTATTGTAGATTCCAAATTTTCTTCCAGAAACTCCGAGGAAAAGAATAGGAGGACGAGGGTTGTACAAAGAGATGGTTCTCTGATAGCTTGTTGACGAAACAGTACCCTGACTTCACAGAGTATATCCCTGACTTGTTTAAGTGCCAAACCAAAACATCATCCCTATCTTCGAAAGGCAATGAGACTAACCGAATAACTTTCATCTCCTCGACAGTGACAATATTGCAGAGTTCTTCTACTTTCCATTGCTTGTTCACAGGATCAATAGCCTCTGAAACATACGAAATATCACACCCTGGGGTTGATTAGATGAGACCTTGAAATTTGTAGTTGTTGGTATCCAGCCATCCTTCCAAAATCTGACTGATTTCCCATAGTGAATGTACCATCGACATCCTTCTAATAATAATTCTCGGCCCTTCAGCAAGCTTGCTCATGTTCATGATCCTCTAGCGCCTTTAGCTGCATGTAAGAAATCTGAGTGTGGATAATATAGCCCTTTAAACATCCTAGCCTAGTAAGAGTTCGAGTGTTTGATCAATCTCTAGCCGTGCCTAGCAAGTAAAGCTTGATTGAAGTGTGAAAAATTCCAAAATCCCAAACCTCCTTCAGTTTTTGACATGAACACAGATGCCCACATAACCCAATGAATCCCTCTGTCCGTCGGATCATCCTTCCACCAATAATTCCTGATAAAAGCATACATCTTTTGACACAAACTTTGAGGAAAGTAAAAGCACGCCATTGCATAAGAGGGTATAGCTTGCTTTAACACCTTCCCCCCGACATAAGAAAGCAGATTGTTTTTCCACCCTTGCATCTTAGCAAACATTTTCTCAAGTAAAAAGCCATATGCCGCTGCTTTAGACCGACCCCACATCAAAGGTAACCCCAGATATTTAACATTCAGCCTCGCTTGGTTGATACCCGCGGTTCTACAAATCCTTTCCCTTAATTCGTCATCTACATTGTCTGAAAAAATTATCACAATTTTGTCAAAATTGAGAAGTTGACTAGAGGCCCTGCTATAATTGTGTACAATGTGGAGCATGTTTTGACACTTAGAAGTTGACTAGACTATTTTTGAATGTGTCGCGTCTCCAAAATAATTACAATAATTCACCTGCAAATGACTAATACAAGATGATAAAAACAAAATAATAGGCTTTCATTAATCAGAGTTAATTTACAAAAGTGACACACGTGATATACATTCATAAACTCTACCCTAAGTCTGTAGCATGTGATACCAACTTAACGATCAACAAAACAAATGTCCTACAGGCTTACATCTTTTCAAGACTATGTTTGGTTACAACAAAAGAGAGTGTCTTAAGCTCCATACATATAAAGCCCTAAGCTTGTACAAATATTAAATACAAAACAACAAAATGGAGCCTTCAACTCCCAAGTCCTTCCAAGCTAAGTCTTCAGAGGAGGCATGTCACCAGCATCTGAAAATAGTTTTCCAAGTAGGGTGAGCCAAAGCACAATAAAGACAATTTATCACAATAAATGAATCTCAACAAAGATATAAACAATATGCACATGTTCAATGTCCGATGACAAAATCTTTTACAACTCTTTTCCAAAACCATGTTATGCCAAACTTACATCTCAATTCATTTCATCCTGGTTCATTAGGTATACCCATTTCATTTAATCAATCAAACAGAGGATATATCTCACAGGTCTCCAACCAATATAATTATCATACAAATACATTCACTTGCCATTTGAAGGAAATTTCATCTACAGGAATCAGCACCCATGTATACGCACGGTTTTCGAAACTTTCATCTTGGACACACAGGCGAACTTAGTTTAATGGAGTCCTTCCCCTTTCTTCTCCCAAACATGGGATGTATCCTTTTTCTTCTCCCAAACATCATACATATACAATGTATGCACATCATAATCATATTAAATGATAACGGCTAAGAGATTAGTTTCAATGCCTCATGCAATTTCTACAACAATCATGATTATCCTCCATCGATAGCTCAAAATAGATATTTCTAAACAGATATACAATTTTTACAATAGATAAATTATCCAAATGTCCGTAGGTGCGAGGTAGTACATATCTAACTCCACCATTCATTCACTACAAGAATTTTCACTTTTGGCGACTAAATTTTTAGTAGCCAAAACTCATCTTTTAGTTGCCTATAGTCTTTAACGACTAAATTTTTTGGTCGGAAAATTAGTAGCGAAAGAGTAGTTGGGAAATCTAATTGCCGACTAAAGCTAATTTAGTCTCCAAATGTATACCTTTGCCGACTAAATATTTAGTCACCAATAGGTTGGAAAATTAATTAAATAATACATTTTTGCAGACCAATTTTTTTGTCGCCAAAAGCCAATTATTTAGTTGCCGAAAAATTTTTAGCTACTAAATTTTTTAGTTGCCTAAAACAAATACTAGTGTTTTGGCTACTAAAATTTTAGTCGCCTAAAGTCAATCTTTTTTAGCTACTAAAATTTTAATCGTCAAATACTATTTCTTTTGGCTACTAAAAATTTAGTCGCCTAAATTTCTACATTTTTAGCTACTAAAAATTTAGTCGCCTTTTGGCTACTAAATTTTTAGTCGCCAAAAGTATTTTTATTTTTCAACTTTTGTTTTTAGCTACTAAATATTTTAGTCACCAAATGTTTGCTTTTCTTTTAGGTACAAAACTTTTAGTAGCCAAAGGTTTGATTTTCTTTTGACTACAAAACATTTAGTAGCCAAATAGTTGTTTTTCTTTTGCCTACAAAAAATTTAATAGCCAAATGTTTGATTTTCTTTTGGCTACAAAACTTTTAATAGCCAAATGTTTGTTTGTTTTCCCCCCCCCCCTTTTTATTGGCTACAAAACATTTAGTTGGCAAAAACATGATATTATGTTTTATTACAAATATTATAATGTGTCCATAACCTATCTGTATTCCATGCAACCTGTAATACGTATATAAATAAAATGATATATAAACTATCGATCATTCCACAATCTGCATCCGTATACAAAAAATAAATTACTTTAACTGTCCAAGTACATACAAACAAACTATTGTCCAAACTAAAATAATAATTTCATACAACATATACAATCATACAAAAAGTAAAGCCCTCTATATACAAAAATTACATTTACTATACCATGTGAAATGACCATTTGGCATGGTACAAATTACCATCGTAATCTGTACCACGACAAAAGGTGATGTATGTACCAAGCCAAAAATACATCTATGTACCACGACAATAAATCATATATTTGTATGGCATCAAAAGGTGATCCATCTACCATGCCAATAATTATTTGTTCGCTGCCAAAAATTTTCTGTATCAGAAATAGTTAACTGCACAAAAGCCGGAGACGACAAAAGTATTATATTACTTCTATACAAAAGTACAATTTCCTTTCCATACACCAAAATATCTCTGCAAGTCCACGCAATGAAGTCATCTACAAAAAACAAAAAAATACATTAGAATTGGACCCAAAAATGCCCAACTTCATGAATGAATTTGGGAACAAGTGACAAATAAAAATAAGTGAGAAGCAACCTTCCATGATGAATCAATTATCAGTCATTGTACAGTCTTTCTAAATTCTTTTGTTATAAGGAACATTGTTAAATGCAAAACAATAATTACTAAATCTTTCATTAGTAACATAAAGCTAATGTAACAATCTGCTATTTGTATGCAACATGTATCCAAATTCTATGACTAAACCAATATCAAAGCCCAATGTGAATAAAAAGTATTCTTTTTACCAACTTCCTCATTATTTGTTTGCAAAAGGCACTTGAATCATTAGATTGGATATAAAACCATTGGTGCTTATTAATGTATGGCAGTGCCATTTTAGAAAGGATATTAGAACATGTGATAAAAATAATAACACACGTGTGTACGTTCAAAAAATTAGCAAGTTTAAAACAAAGCGTAAACTGAGTTCATATTGGTTTCTGAATATTTTTCCCATAATTTTCCATTACTATACATCTCCAATACATGCCGTCAGTTGTCACAAGTCCTATTTGGAATGGAGAAGCTGCCCGTGAGAGTTAGATGGAGGTTCGGGGGCTGTTTTGAAGTTTCGCCCCAAAACGCCCTTTGTCGACTAAGTTTTCAGCGTATTCGGCTCTAAATCCCAACCTACAGGTCCGAATAATATTCCGTCAGTAGTAACAAGTCCTATTTGGCATGGGGAAGCTGCCCGTGTTGGCCACACGGAGGTTCGGGGGCTGTTTTGAATTTTCGCCCCTGAAACGACCTTTTTCGACTAAGTTTTTGGCCTATTCGTCCCTAAATCCCAACCTACGGGCCCGAATATCATTCCATCAATTGTCACAAGTCATATTTGGCATGGGGAAACTGTTCGTTTTGTCCACACGGAGGTTCGGGGGCTATTTTGAACTTTTGCCTCCCAAAACGCCCTTTTTCGACTAAGTTTTGAGCGTATTCATCTCTAAATCCCAACCTACGGGTCTGAATATCATTCCGTCAGTTGTCACAAGTCAAATTTGGCATGGGGAAACTATTCGTTTCGGCCACACAGAGGTTCGGGGGCTGTTTTGAATTTTCTCCCCCCAAACGCCCTTTTCAACGAAGTTTTGGGCGTATTTGGCTCTACATCCCAACCTATAAGTCCGAATAATATTTCGTTAGTTGTCACAAGTCATATTTGGCATAGGAAAACTGTTTGTTTGGGCCACACGGAGGTTCGGGGGCTGTTTTGAATTTTCGCCTCCGCAACGCCCTTTTTCATCTAAGTTTTGTACGCATTCGTCTCTAAATCCCAACCTACGGGTTCGAATATCATTCCGCCAGTTGTCACAAGTCATATTTGGCATGGGGAAACTGTTCGTTTCAGCCACACAGAGGTTCGGGGACTGTTTTGAATTTTCGCCTCCGAAACGCCATTTTTCGACTAAGTTTTAAACGTATTCGTCTTTAAATCCCAATCTACGGGTCCGAATATCATTCCGCCAGTTGTCACAAGTCATATTTGGCATGGGGAAACTGTTCGTTTCAGCCACACGGAGGTTCGGGGGCTGTTTTGAAGTTTCGCTCCCAAAACGCCCTTTTTCGACTAAGTTTTAGGCGTATTCGGCTCTAAAGTTATTGGGAGAATATCAAAAAAGTGAAGAGAAAGAAAAATAATTTCAAAATGATGGAAATACAAGTGATTCATGGATTAGATTGTGCAAGTATCACTTTGAAATTATTTTTTCTGCCCTCCAATTTTTTGATGTTCTCCCAAGGTTGTTCTAGCCATAGAGTTCCCTCTAATGTGATCAATAAGACGAACAATCTTTAGGGTTATAAAAATTATGAGACTATATAGATCACAAGTCCAAAATATGAGACTTCTTGATCAATCTCTCTTTATTTTATAATACACTAAACGCCAAAACGATGCCCCTTGTTTGTGTGGAGTCCACAATGTAAAACAATACAATAAAAAAATACAATAAAGCAGAACATTTTAATGCACAAAATCATGGGTAGACAGCACTCTATATGGGAACATAAAGATGAAAATTAAAGTTGAGAGAGAAAACATACATCTATGCCACGATAAAGATGAAAATTAAAGTTGAGAGAGAAAACATACATCTATGCCACGAATTCCAAGGTAGAAAAAACGATAAACAATACCAGCCAACAGATACCCTCCAAAGAGGCATAAGATTCTAAAAATTCCAAGCAATTAGTGGATATCGAGTCCTTGGAAAACCTGAGATTAAGGCACTTAAATCTCATATGTATTACATATTAGTTTAGTTTCGTGCATGAGCAGAATGCTACCATAAGCCCATGAGACAAGAACATGGCCTTGTACTCTAATGTATAAAGAACACCTTACACAAATAGCCTCCGAGATCAATAATTGGCTCTTACACGTCATGTAATTCAACACCTACCCGAGTTTAGTGTCTTTAGACACATCTACCATATATCATCAGAAACTATAACACTCAAAACAGTAGAAAATGTAAAGGTATTCTACTTTAAAAATACATTGCTAGTGCACCAACAAACCACATAATCACAATGAAAACAACTAACTTTACTAGACCACCAAGCACTGAAGGATTGAATGAAAATTCTATAAACTCGAAACACTTACGTAATCGCAAGTCCCAACTTTATCCAGTGCCTGAGGTCCCTGACAAATCAGAATATAAATATTCAAAGGCCATAAAACCAATATGAATCTAATTTTGAGGAAAAGCTAAGGTAATAAAAAGGAAAAGGAATGCAAGAAACAAGCTCTCACTTGAACTCCACTTGAATCACAGATCACAGACACAGCAAGTGAACAGTTGAGTTCCGAGAAGTTATTTGACATCATAACAACACCACCCATGTGGGGACTCTTTTCATCTGTCATATTAAAACAAAAAACAGTAATGTTGGACAACCTACACCCCACAACATCACAAGGGAAAAACAATACACATTATGGAAAACTCCATAAAGCACAGGACCAAGCTATATCAGGGACATACCATCACATATGCCAAAAGGCAGACAAAGGGAACCATAACAAGCAGAACTAGTATTCATCTTCCTTCATCTAACAAAATTAGGGGAGGAACTTACCAATGAGATCAATTATCATGTTTGACGTACGCCCAACAGTAGTACATACAGGATAACCTGCAGATACCACATATATCCAATCAGCAGAACGTCTAATGCACTCAATGTTAAGGAAGAAGACGGAGAAGAACTCTCTCCCTCCCTCCCTCTTGATCTACCAACTGCACTCAATGTCAAGAGGACAGAGAAGTATTGTTGGGCTATAGTGTTTAAATTGAATGAAGAGTGGCAAACAAGAAACACTCATCATAAATATGTAACTCATTGGTTTCAGGACCATTCGATAACATGCTAGCAGTTCTCAATACTTCATCAACACTATATTCATGAATTTGCTCTATTCGTTTTGGTCAAAACTCAAAAAGGCGTAGCAACTAGTGCAAAGAAAATTGGTAAATCACAGCAATATTGCAGGGTGCTTAACATGAATAGGTCAAGTCGTCGTACTTCTTTGAGAACACACCAGTGCAGCAATATTACACTATTGTCCAATCACTAGACCAAGCCTCACACAATTGGCCAACTCTAAATCTCCAAAACCATGTAAAAGTTGTGTCTTCATACCCACGGGAATATGCAGATGCAGTGATATTTCCCAATAACTGATGATTAGACTGAGTCTTCCCCGCCATCATCAGCCAAATCTACCAAAAAAAGGTGAACAAAAAGGTCCAATACAAACAATTGGACTTGCATAAATGCGAGAAAACTTTAGATGAGGGCTGTTAAGATATTTGTGATGGCATTCCACACGATTTGTTTGCAGGGTAACATGAAATGTGATCCTAAATATAAAATTAAAATTATTATAAAAACCTTTTTCTACATTTAAACAATTTTCTATTTGTATTTTGTAATGATTAACATGTAGTACCATAAAAACTTTCAAGAATGTTTACCTCTCTGAATTCGAATTATTATTATTATTTTTTGTCATGTTAGATTGGAGCATGTGTAACATCAGCTAATCTGGATTTGAAAGTTAGATCAAGGAGATATAAATAATTGTGTATTTTTTACGAAGCTTTTATAGATTCGGACCTTATAGCGTTCAATAAATAATTGTGTATTTTCTGTCATTAATTGTGTATTTGATTTCAGTTCTGTGCTGCGAAAATGATGAATGTGTATTTTCTATATCCAAATTTCTGTCATCTCTTATGTAATTTGCTTGAAAATAGATTCAGACCTTATAGTGTTCAATAAATAACAAAATCGAATAGATTATATAGCTATTCAATCCAATCCTTTATTGTTTATATAGCTGTTATATTCAATGAGTCAATCTTTTTTTTTTTTTCTGTTTGATAAGATGCTCATGATTGAATATATTAGTGTTTTTGATCTTTTCATTTGCATTGTTCTGTGGCACTTGGAGGCCATTGTTCATCTATGAATGTTTTACTTGGAAACCTGCAACAAGAATGGTTTCAAGAAATAAATATGCTAAACTATTGATGTATTGTTCTGTGGCACTTGGAGGCCATTGTTTATCTGTATATATGATATGATTTTACTTTCAATTGTTAATGCTCTGTTTATTGGTGAAATCCATATGATGGAGCAGATGTGTATCGCTTGGTTATTATCCTTCTGAACAGTGGCTGCTCAAAATCATTCTCTCTTTTTATTTTTTTCGACTTTGCTGTTTAGTAGTTGCTGTGTACTCAATCTGTTGGAAACATTTTAATCATATTACTCTAGATGGTATAAGAAATTCTTTAATTCGACAAGAGGACAGCATCATATTTAGCCTCCTGGAGAGAGCTCAATATTGTTTCAATGTTGACACATATGACCCTAATGCTTTCTTCATGGATGGGTTCCACGGCTCGGTTGATTTCATGGTCAAAGAAACTGAAAAGCTTCATGCTCGGGTATGTTATGCCTTAATTTATGAAAGGAGGAAAATAGAATGATTTTATTTCTAGTTTCTGATTTATTTTTTAGTGCATATCAGGTTGGAAGATACAAGAGTCCCGATGAGCATCCTTTCTTCCTAGATGACTTACCAGATCCAATGCTGCCACCTTTGCAGTACCCTCAGGTAAGACAATAGATACAATGGTTTTAGTTAATTTACTCTGAGCCAGAATTATGATTGACATAGCTTGTAAGATAATGTGTAATATGCAAATTTATGAAGTTTGGATTGGAATATGGCAAATTTATGATAATGTGTAACATGCAAACTGGTATTGTTTAATTGTTTTCATTTTGTTGTGTTTCATTTAATTTCTTTTCCAAGGATATCTAGTAATCAGTCAGTATATATGGAGATTGATTTTCTGATATTTTGCTATCACCCTTCATCTTCAAAGGGGACTGCAAGAATTGCATTCATTTGTGGGAACCTACGTCTGGTACGACATGGAATGTTGATGCTAATCCCTTTGTCAGACATACCGGAAGTGTTGAAGATCTACAAGTATGTATCTTCTTTTTTGCTTTTTGGATTTAGATGTAATGAATTGAAGTAACTTCTATTGTAACACAAATGATTTGAAGTAACTTCTATTGTTTACCTTTTTTTAAGAATGGCTCTTCCAACTTTTATCCATGCAGTGGAGTCCCACAGAACCTTATGTATTTGCCTCTTGCTCTGTGGATGGGAATATTGCAATATGGGATATTCGTCTAGGGAAGTCACTAGCAGCATCCATAAAGGCACATAATGTAGATGTGAATGTTATCTCATGGAACAGGTATTTAAATGTCTTTTCTTTCAGTAGGCACCTATGTCTGATATATGTATCTGATGACCTCTCTTTCTCATTCTTGCCTTCTATTTTAGTTTATGTAATTCCTAGTGCCTTTACTATTTTAATGCAATCTTTTGTTTGAACAAGGATGCAGCTTTAGTTGTTCGTTATAGCTTATTACATAATTTTTATGTACTTTTTAGTATTTAGGTAGCCAACTGGTGGGCATACTATTTATCTCTACCTTGAAGTGAGTATAATTTTTTATTGCATTTATTAGGCATTTATAAAGATGGACCAAAGCGGATCTTCTTATCTGAAGAACCTTGGCAAGTGTTCAATCTTCGTAAACAACAAGGAAATAGTACCTAAACAGGTTGTAAACCTTACTTCAAGTTGTTTGATTGAGGTATGTTTTTACCTTCCTTGGACACTAGACTAATCAATTTTATTTTTTATTTTATTTTCTCTGCTTGCTGAATTTCTCGAATCTAGGTGCAAAATAGATTTCTCTTTTTGATGACTTGCTCCTCTCAATGCTCGACTTACCTGGTTTTTGGTGATTACATTATTTCCAAATTAACTATTTCACTTATTGTTATAATCATCCCACACAAAATATATGTGGAATCCTGTGTTAGTTACTGCAATTGGGGCACTTCTGGTAACGGAATGCCGTTCATATTTGAATAGAGATGTACGAAGCAGTATGCGAATTGCCCACCGAAGGAAGCCAAACACCAGGAACACAAAGTCTGAGTGTGCAGTGTTAAACTGAGTTGGGATGCTGTCTGAAGTGGCTTCTTTTTTTGTCATCGCAACTTTCCGACACTCATCTGGAGCATATACATATCCACTGTAATATAGTTTGTATGTATCTATAGAATCTGTTTAATTGGCTGTACCGCCGCATACTATCATGTTTAAATATATATAATAGAACACTTGGTTCGCTTATCTCTCCATTTATAAATATATAGAGAGTAGTAAAAAAGCAGAGATGAGATATATATTAACACCCTATCTTTCACTAGTTTCATGGGAAATCCACGAGCTTTAATAAAATGGATTGCTTTTTCCAGGATAGCATCACTTGGCTGCAATAACGATATTTTTAGTAACAAAATTTTTGAAAGACGTAGGGATTAGGCCCAAATTGGGAAAATAACTAACTTGGGACAGAAAAGTTTAGGGCTAAAGAAGAATTTCATTAATAATTTTTTAGAACAAAATATAGTTTTAAGGGGTGACTTTAAAAGAGTGATGTTAACTGTGGAGGGCAGGGCCCAACCATTTGAGTGCCCTTCTGGGAGATTATCGACCATGGGGCCCTTAGGTATTAGTGATTAAAATATAAAAAGGGTGCAATGCTGAAGACTCTTAATTATCCAGAATTTAGTTTGTTCTGAATGTTGTGGTTGGTTGCTTGAAATTTTAGGACTATAAAATATGATTGTTTTAGAATTTAGTTTTGAGCTGATTTCTTGTTATTTTAATAAGTAATTGCGGCTTTGGTCTGTAAAATGGAATTCTGATGAAACGACGTGAATTGGAGTTCGGTTTTGGTTCGTCTGATAAGCATGGTTGAGGTTTGAGCTGCTAATTCTTGAAATTGTGGTCATCCGCCCTTTTTGTACATTTTTCCGGCCTCTATGACAATTTTTCAGTCGTTGGATAGAGCCTACAAACCTGTCGATTGCTATTAATGAATTAGAATTCAATAATTAAGCTCATTGGGGTGTTAGCTTGAATATCCAAAATTTCAGCTTGGTAAATGTTTACTAATACTGTACCAAATGGGACATTCGAAAAGCTATATCCCAGTGACAACTTGATTTTGTTTCGTGTGATATTTATGTGAGATGATTAAATGATACTAATTTTTCAAACTAGTATTGATTCAAGAACAATTTTGAACCTCTTTTGTACGCATATTGGAACAGGTTTTGGCATCAAGTAAAGTCAATTAATTGGCTCTTTGTATCCAATTTTTTGTTTTGGCATCCAAGTAGTCAACTAATATATTGATGTATATTTTTCAGGTAGTGTTGAGGGAGTAAGTTGATATGATTGAGTGGGTGATATTGAGAGTTAAATTCAGTTTTTTTTTTTTAGTACTTGAATCTATTAGTATTTTGGTATAAATACTTTAAGGATGGTTGATGATATTTGTTTTGTGTTATAGAATTATTATTTTGTAATGCACATTTTTTTTTTTTTTGAAGAAATATAGTTTTGTTGAGGGAAGTGATGGAAAATAATACATGTGTATTAGAATTTTTGCAAATATCACTTTATATTTATTGTATATAATACTTGAATATAAATATATATATATATATGAGAATATAGGTTGCTAAAACATTGTAGGTATTTTATTTATTTATATTTTTTTTGCGACGGTAACAAGATGGTCGCTAATACATTGTAGGTATTTTTTTAATTTTTTTGCGACGGCAAAATATTAGTCGCGATAAGTAGATTAGGCGGTCGCAAATAGTTTGCGACTGCTATTTTGCGGTCGCAAAAAGTATTTGCCACCCCCACATTCGCGACCCCCATTTGCCGTCGCATGGGCCGTCTCAAAAAGTCTTTTGCGACTGTTTTTTATTATTTGCGACGGTTTATAGCGGTCGCAAAAAGTGATTTTTTTAGTAGTGAGAACATCTAATGCACTCAATGTTAAGGAAGAAGACGGAGAAGAACTCTCTCCCTCCCTCCCTCTCTCTCGATCTACCAACTGCACTCAATGTCAAGAGGACAGAGAAGTATTGTTGGGCTATAGTGTTTAAATTGAATGAAGAGTGGCAAACAAGAAACACTCATCATAAATATGTAACTCATTGGTTTCAGGACCATTCTATAACATGCTAGCAGTTCTCAATACTTCATCAACACTATATTCATGAATTTGCTCTATTCGTTTTGGTCAAAACTCAAAAAGGCATAGCAACTAGTGCAAAGAAAATTGGTAAATCACAGCAATATTGCAGGGTGCTTAACATGAATAGGTCAAGTCCTCATACTTCTTTGAGAACACACCAGTGCAGCAATATTACACTATTGTCCAATCACTAGACCAAGCCTCACACAATTGGCCAACTCTAAATCTCCAAAACCATGTAAAAGTTGTGTCTTCATACCCACGGGAATATGCAGATGCAGTGATATTTCCCAATAACTGATGATTAGACTGAGTCTTCCCCGCCATCATCAGCCAAATCTACCAAAAAAAGGTGAACAAAAAGGTCCAATACAAACAATTGGACTTGCATAAATGCGAGAAAACTTTAGATGAGGGCTGTTAAGATATTTGTGAAGGCATTCCACACGATTTGTTTGCAGGGTAACATGAAATGTGATCCTAAATATAAAATTAAAATTATTATAAAAACCTTTTCTACATTTAAACAATTTTCTATTTGTATTTTGAAATGATTAACAACATGTAGTACCATAAAAACTTTCAAGAATGTTTAGCTCCTATCTTGTGAGCCACAAGCGCACTACAGCCCGTGCTACAATGTGATGGACCCCCACAGTCCTATAATATCAAAAAGACATTCAAGTAAGTTGGAAATCGAATAAAATCTGCAGTGGAGAAAGAATACTCAGTTTTTCCTTTTATAATATAATCAACCATAATATTACAAAAGAAAATATGGATAAATATTGGATCATGCATGTAACTTGGATGGTTCACCAAAAAAATCCACCCATGGTCTCAGCAAGGGCTGGGACTGTCAAAAATTAGTTGGCTTCCTAAACATCGATATTTCTATGGTAAATTACACTAACCTCCCCTGAGGTTTAGAGAAAATACAATTAGCCCCACACTTTTGACATAATTATACCGACCTCCCTTGATGTTTTAATTCACCCAACATTTGGCCCCTTTTTCATCAGTAATTCATTAGTTGTATGGATGAAAAAAACTGATGTTATCTCTTTTATTATAAAATGTATGTTTTACCCTTGTTTATTCATGTGTCTATACACCTTTGCATTAGTTTCTGTCACTTTAGTCTTAATAAAAAGGAAGTCAATGCAATCATGTCAGACTTTAGTCTTATTATATTTGAGCTATTGTGTAAAAAGCACTAAACACCTCAAACTAATCATAATAATGCATTACAATCATAGAAGGGCCCATAATTCAACCCAATCATGAAGGTCATGTCAGCACAACAAAAGAACAAAAACCCACATCAAGAAACATGGTATACACTCAAATATACACACAAACAGAGAGATTGCGAGAGAGAGAGAGAGAGAGAGAGTACCCATCTTCGCTGAGGACACCGTGGGGGAATTTGGGGGAGGGGGAGGCAAGGCTGTAGTTGTAAAGCTTGTTGTGATCAACAATGCTGAGTTCACAAATCGCAGAGACCGAGTTGAGAGAGAGAGAGAGAGAGAGAGAGAGAGAGAGAGTACCCATAACGGTGCCTTGGATCAATCTACAATTCACAGAGTAAAACAAACATTTTAAATGCCTACTTCGTAAGATGGCATGCTATTCTCTAGGCAGATATATGAATCAGAAAAAACAATACCATAAATTAGTATAAGGTAATGGAAAAGGGCAACAACATAAAAGAAGGGCACAAGGCAAAGGATTAGGAAAACTTACAGCTTCAATGCAGTGCTGGAAAGCCAATTTTTGAGCTTTGGCATCCTTAGACAAACCTGTACCCAACTGCCCATAACAAGTCATTATCACTCGCTTGTGTGGGAAAAAAAAGCAGTGAAATCTATAACAGGTATTGAGTCAAAAAAAAAAGCACTCCACTATTAGGGCATCTCCAATCCTTACCCTTCACCCATATCAAATTTAAATTCGAGTAAAAATGCTCAAAATCTCTCTCCACTTAAAACTCATATCAAAATGAATTTTGCTAAAATTTTAACCCAAATCAAGGGAGACACTTTTTTTACTCAAATTTTTAAAGACAATTTTGAGTGATATAATAATAGCTTCTAAATTTAAAATTGTGCCACTTATCAAATTTTTACTCAAATACGAGTTTGGCCATTGGATTACTAGTGTATAATGAAATGATATTTTTACTCAAATTGGACTGGAGATGGCTTTATAATTTCTGTTGTTTTAATTTTTTTAGCACAAGACAAGAAGATGAAACCTTAGAAGCATTCAATCTGATTCGATTCCACCGCGAAGCTACCGTCTCTGGTTTCGAAAAATTGAAGAAGGAAATCGTACTCCGATTCAATCTAGCATAGTCGATTGCTTGCCACCTTCATAATAATCATCGCTAAATTAAAGCGTTCACATTTATGTATGTATGTATAGTAATAAAAATGGTGTAATTAGTGTGTCTAATGAAGAAAAACAGAGAGGGTTGAATTGAAGAGGGGGTGTACCAACCAGAGCTCTTCGGCTACAACAGCGGAATCGGCTAACATACGCCTGGTGCGGTAGCTCCGATAAACCTTCTGCACCCACATGGCGGCGGCACTCGACTCGGTATTATTCGACACTTCACCGGCTCCACTCACATCACCATTGTTTGTCATTCCGGCCGCCACCGCCGGAGAGTCGAAACCTCTGCTTAGGACGATCGCCGGAGATAGTTGTTGGGAAGCAGCGTGGGAGCAAATCTTGATGGAATTGTAAGAGAATGGTGGTTTGGAATTGAGATCCAAGTTCGAAAGGCTTTGAGTATCGATGATCTCCATTACGCAAACAAACCCTACAAATTCTCTGTGTGACAGAGAGAGACAGAGGGACAGCAAGAGAGAAAGAACCGTGTGAAGAGAAGTAATAGATTTGGGCAAAAATTTAGGCACCAATTTGAAATATTTCCCAAAATTTTTTTGAACACATTCGCGACTAAATTTTAGTCGCTGAAGATAGGTTACCAAAGATTAAAAAAAAAAAAATTTATTTGGCGACTAAAATAATTTTTTGTTGGTGAAAGTAAGTTTTTGGCGACTAAAACTTTAGTCGCCAAATTCAAAGAGGAAAATAATTTTTTTTATTTTCATTCGGGCGACTACATTTTAGTAGCCAAAATCAAATATCGAGCGACTATTTTTTTTTTTTTTGTCACTAAAAAGAAGATTTTGGCGACTAAATTTTTAGTCACCAAAGAAAAAAATAATTTTTCTTGGCTAGTTCGCGACATAAATATTTTAGTAAGCCAAAAGTCAAATATATATACAAAGCGACTAAGTTTTTTTTGTCTCTAATTCTGGCATTTTTTAGCGACTAAATTTTTTAGTCACCAATAATGAATATTACCTTGTCCGACTAAAAAAAAATAGTAGCTAATAGTTATTCTTGGCGACTAAAAAAAATATAGTCGCCAATCCATAACTGTTGCATGGCTAAATTTTTTTAGTCACCAAATTTTGATTCGCCAAAGGTTCTTTTTGTTGTAGTGATTTAAACAACGCATTCAATTTCATATCCCAATACCATTCTACACTTTAACAAAAAATAATTATTCTAGAGATTTTAGGGCAAAACTCCAATTTTTTCTCTAATTTCATCCAAACACCAGAAAATCAATGCATTTAACACATGTACATATGACGTACAAGCTCATATTTACTCCGCATAACCCATTTCAATACATTCATTAAAAAAACCCCTCTTTTGAATTTTAAGTCAAAACCCTGGTTTGTTTCAAAATCATCTCAAATCCCAATATTATCTTACACATCAACAAATAGCTAATTTAAAAACCTCATAGAAGAGTGTAGAAAGTCCTATCTCATCAAGTTTAAAAGTTTGAGCGAGAGAATGGAGACACTAAAACGACAAAACCGGAAATCCCAACTCTATTTGGATAAATTAGCCCCTCGAGATGCTCTAATCTTTTATCAACAAGTAATCGGTGGAGAAATACCACTAAAAATCAAGGTAAAAAGTGAAGAGAGAGTGTGAGTTTAGAGAGAGGAGCTTGATTTTGGGATTTGAGGGAGAAAGTTATGAAAAAGAGTGCCTGCTACGATGTGATGTTTGAGCGAAAATTGATATTATGCGGCAGTTCGCTCGAGCGCTTAAGAATTGACGCTCGAGCGTTAGACACAAATAAGTCGTTCGCTCAAGCGCAAAGAAACTTATGCTCGAGCTCAGAATGTACAACTTCTAGTGTTTTGCAGGCAACAGACCTGAACTCACTCAGTTGCAAGAATGGCCGCTCGAGCTGGAGCTCGCTTGAGGCGCAGGAAGGATACCGCTCGTAGCGCTAGAATACACTCCCTCAGTGTTTTAACAGACCTGCAAATATTGAGAAGTTCACAAAAGCCTGCTCGAGAAGTGCTGGAGTGCGCCGAGAGGAGGAGGAAAATTTTGGGCAACAAGAGTTTGGAACTAGCAACACTTGTCCAAACGCAACGCACAACAATCCAAAAGGCAGGTTAACTTGTAAGGAGATAGAAGAAACAAGGTGTTAAACATCAATAGTGAAACCATCAATACCCTATCAGGATACAACAGAGGGTCCAGGTCAAACAAGGAATGATTGAAATAGACTCGAATTAGGTTTGGCGAAAAACATCTCTCGACAAGTCTGCATGACTATTTTTGGAGTTCCCCTTGCCTGATTCCACAACTCGCAAAGAACTGCAGCTCACAGTTTCCGCCATTTACAAAAAATTGGAAGAACTAACCGCGTCGATACACGCTTGCATACCACCGAGCCCATTGTGCACTGAAACACTAATTTTCTGAGCATCTGTTTCTAAGAAGTCCCATTGAGTCCAATCATAGGCCTAAATCCAATTCAATGCTAATGCCACTTGTCTATCTCTCTTTTATGTCTCAGAAGTGAATGCATCATGCGCTGACAAGGAATATTGTCTTGATCAAACGACCTAGGACAAAGGCTGATTGATTTGGCGTGATTAAGCTATTGGAGTACTCTCTGACGCCTATTCGCCAAAATTTTTGTTGATAATTTTTAAATCTTAAATTGCAGATAAGCTGATTGATCGAATATGGTGCTGTAGACGTCCCCCGAACGCCCCGGAGAACGAGGGTCCCCCGTTCCGTTTGATATTGGGGTCACTACATTCAGGACTCTCAAATTGCAGGTCTTAATCTGAACCAAAGAGTCCCTAAATCCGGGCAAAGATAGTTTTGAGAAATACATGATTTTTAGAAAAAGAAAGTGGCCAAACATGGACTGCTTTGGCCAGTACAGAGTCGCCACCTAAAATATTTTATTTTGGGAATTAGGTAAACCCTGAACTCGTTGCCCTAAGGCCACACGTGTCCGCATCACCAAAAGTTGCCATCGGCTGGGAACTTGTAACTGATTGGGGATAGGTCACTTCGTGACACCCCGCCCTCGCCATCAAGATCGGCCTCTACTAACCATGATATCTAATTTTTGAAAACATTAATGTGTTCTATTTCGGTTATTAGCCTAGATTTACTATGTGATGCGCACGTGGCATACAAGTAAGACTGGGGTCGCTCTGAATTGGAACAACATTTCATGTTTGTTTATTTGAAAATGGTTTATAGTGGCTACCCGCAGGTAGCTAAGACGTGGATTTGCTACCCTCAGGTGGGTTAGAAAACTATGATTTTGCCACTACTAGTGGGCTTAAAAACAACACATTTGAATGAATTGTCCAATGCCAATTAACCCAACCTCACCCAACGGCATTCCAAGGCATGGTTATAATCACATAAGGATAGCCTCATGGTAAGCATGCTATCATGGCAGGTCACTCACATAATCACCATGCAAGGATGCTAAACGCATAAAACTTACGAAGTACTCCAAGCCAAAACAGAAGCTAATTAGAATCCCATAGCAGTGATCCTAATTATACAAGAAATGCCTAATGCAAAAACACATGCAAAAATGCAACTATAGCAGCTCCGACTAATTCTAAACATTGGCATATGAAATGCTACAAGCTAACATGTAATCAACTTGGGAATTGAAAATACAATGCAGTTAGTATGTGCGGCGCGAGCCCGGGCATGCAAAAACGATGAAATGGAATGCAAACGATGCTATCATACTGTATGCTAATTGAAACATGCCTAAATTCCTAACCATCAATAAGCGGGTAAATAAAAGGGAGAAAGACGGTGGGGTTATAAGAACAACATCCCCACACGCACTACTTATTTACAGTTGGTGCCCTGCACAGAGGGTCCGAATAAATAATATACAAGTCCAAATAATTAACATGAAAATATCAAAATGCCTAATTAATTAACAAATTTTAAATAGGAAACAATAAATTGGCTATGGCAAGTCAGGGACTGCCCAAATCTGCTTCCCGTGATGATGAATGATGCCAGCTCGGCGTTGCCTTGTGCGGAGATCCCTCGCAATGACCGCCGGTTTGCCTCTGTTTGCAATTGTTCTTGGAAGGGCGTGCAAGCTCCGGAAGGCTGGCCGATTTCCTGATTTCTGCACAAAGAGCAACAAAAGGGCAATGGCAAGTATTTTCACATATGTATGCATGACATACTCTTCAGGGAAGTTGTAGGTCCTCTGATCCTCGTCCACAATCACGCATCTCGATGCATTCAATGGCCGAGGAGTCGCATTTGCACGATCAATATGAGAATGGATGCATGTAAACACAACAAGGCTAGACTCCATCATGGATAACCGAAGTGTCGGCGACCGGGAATTGAGACACGTTCCGTCACTCGGAGTATGAAAATGTCCCTCGTTTCCGTATTTGGGCTACTCTATCCAAGCACAATGCAATATGCAATGAACATGCATGAATGCAACTAATATAGCAACCTAGCAATGCACAATGCTATGAAATGGGCAATACACGATGCATGAGGTAACATGGCATACACATGCGCTAAACATACAAACTAGCAACACAATGCTATGAAAAGAAATGGCATACACAATCACAATGGACTTACACCAACATGAGTGGATCACAGCCACACTCACATCAGTAGCTCAATTAGATGAAAAAATGAGACTCTCGAGATGTTGCACACATGCACACAAATCGAGGACCAATCCTAAGGCACAAATGCCCACTCTACAAGGCATGCCAAGGCACGAAATATTGGCATCACAAACAGCAAGTTTCAAGGCACTGAAATGTGATGCAAAATGACCCCAAAAACATGGAAACATGGCACCCGATGCATGGAATGCCTGAAACACAAAACTAGGCATACAGCATTGCTATAGTTTACAAAACATGCATTATTTTAATCAAATGAAGCATGAAGACAATCAAGACAGTCCTCAAAACACATGCCAATATTTCCAGTTTTACAACAAGCCTAAAAAATGAACACAAATAAGGCCTAAATCTATCATGCAAAATGGCCCAAAAAGAGAGATAAACCAAAGGGACAGAAGCTGCCCCAAATGGAGAAAGAACCCCTTCAACAAAGTTTGAGAGAGGCTCAAACATGGGCCTTTACAGTTTCATCAAGCCACAAAAATATCACAAATAAGGCCAACATCGCAGAAAAGGCTAAAAATAGGAATTAAACACAAAGGGGACAGTTACTGGCCCCCATGGCAAAAAGCCCTTCAACAATGTTTAAGAGGGCTCAAAAAAAGATATTTTACATTTATGCAAGATCAAACAGCTCACAAATGGCCTAAAATACTATGCAAAAATTGTGCCTAAAAGAGAGATAAAGAAGCAAGTGATAGCTGCTGCCTCAAACAGAGAATAGACCCTAATCAAACAATGAAAAGAGGCTCAAAAATAGACTATTTACAGTTGGGTTGGAAGTCCATAAAGTGCAAGAAAGTACGCTTAGATA